CGTCAACCGTTAATTTTATGTCATTAAAAAACCTGTCATTTGTTATTGAAGTCGCCCTTGTCAGTTCTTTTTTGAAAGGTTGTAAAGAAGCGTTCATGTTTATGTACGAGGCTCCAGTATAGAAGCATAGGCTGTCCTTTCTGTTACAATTATATTTCAAATAGTAAGTATTGAATTATTTTCTAATTATTGTCATTATTATTGTCAAAGTTTTTATTTTTGGCACATGACAAATGCGAAGGCATAACATAAAATTTACCTTTCTTATAGAGAATAATATACATAGATGTCCATTCAGTGGACGTCTTTTCTGTGGACATAATTTACCCATAAATAAAAAATTAAGGTTTGCATGCAATATCAATCTTATTTTAGTTTAGGATTTAACTAAAGCTTTACAAAAATGCTCTTGTAATAATATTACCAAACTTTTTAGTATTAAAAAAATAATAAACCGAAAGTGTAGTTATTTTTAGAATCACCCAAATATAACTATTTATATTTCCTAAATAATAGTTTATAAAAAAATGTACCTATCCTTTGGTCAAATCTTATAATGTTAAAAAACATTTCCAGTATCTTTAAAACTTAAAAAAAACTTTGTTTACTTCTTCCATGCCTGTTAGACAGAATTACTATTTTGGGTAATTTAAATTAACGGCGGCAAATAAATAAATGTTCATTATTGTGTAAATAGCATACATTACCCCGCCCATACATGATTGAGCTTCGATTAGCTTAAAAATATACCGAAAAATTATTTTACGTGCAATTTCAACGAAATTGTTGCATTGTAAAAATAATGTATGATATGACAATTGTTGAGGCAAGGGCGGCAAAAACTATTCAGCCTATACCTTGAAAATTTGTAAATCCGCCACTGCCCCTAAGCATTACATGGCTGAATTTAATTTGCCTTGCGTTTCATTCAAACTGCTAAGTATGCTATTAACATAATATTATAATATAACATAATATTATAATATAAATATATATATATATATATATATATATACAGTGCTTGCAAATCCAAGTCCGACCGCACTGCAAAGGACGGCTGTTCAATACCCGCGTGAAAAGAACAAGGATAGAACGCCAAATAGAATTTGATTGGCCAGAGCCCCGGATGCGTGCGAATTGTAAGCGAGGTCAACTCTCAGTCTGGCTGCATTTAGACTAAATGATTTAGTGTTAAGCAAACTGCGTTAGAGTGTAGATGCACATTTTAATTTTCTTTTTAAATATTTTATACCCGAATCCTAAAAATAAAATTGTTTGATTTTTTTCCTTGAGAACTAGGGCAACAACAAAAATAGTATTCTTAATAAAAAAGATTTCTCAAATAAAAAATAATTCTGAATAAAAATAACTATAAATAAAAATAAAACTCTAAATAAAAATAAAACTCTAAAAATAAATAATAAAAATAAATAAACTCAAAAATTAAATTAAATGTTCGAACAAGCCCCCATAGGCAGCCAAACAATAGCATAACCTATTATAAAAATTCCCGTCGGAACTGCATCGAAACTACACAACCGTGCGTGAGAAAATTATTAACGTTTCGTCGAATTGTTTCTTTGTTTGGTCTGGCCTCGAACATTCCCGCAAATAATCTTTGAATTTCTCGTTCAGAATTACCAGCAAAGTGCCAGATTAAAATCTGAACTTTTTGTTCCAACGTGTACATTTTTTAATTAAATAATCTTTTTTACTAAAATTACTACCTCTTGCTGGCACCACTGCAGTTCTCGTTCTGATATCCTCGACTCGAGGCAAGCACGCTGCAAGGTGCGCGATGGGTATGCGTTGTCGTAGCCTGCCGGCTCTGGCCAATCAAATTCTATTTGGCGTTCTATCCTTGTTCTTTTCACGCGGGTATTGAACAGCCGTCCTTTCCAGTGCGGTCGGACTTGGATTTGCAAGCACTGTATATATATATATATATATGTGGATGATGTTAAATGTTATTACATATTGCTGTTCCGCCAAAATGCCAAAGATCTCAATATTGAAGGTGTAATGAACCATATAGTGCGGATTATAAAATACTTTCGAAACAACCATTTTGCAAAAGCATTTTCTTCTGAAGGTGGATCATCTCTTGCATTGCCAATTGAGGTACACTGGAACAGCTCAAGAAAATAAATAAATTGGTTTCTAACGTAATACGTAATCTGATGGCTTGACTAAAACCTATATATAAAATTAATCTAAAATCGGGTATTTTAAAAATGCACAATTTTTAGAAATCATTATTTTATTGTGTTGTAAAAACTGGTTATGATTTTTTTTACTGAGACTATTAATTTTTTTGTTAAACGTTTTTAAAATTTCTGTAATATTTGATTTGTTTAAAATCGGGTATTTTCAATCTGAAATATCTCGGAAGGGAAACATTTTAAAAATCGAAAATTTTTAGAAAGCATTCAATTATTGTGTTGTAGTAAGTGATTAAAATATCATCACTAAGACGTTTTTTAGTTTATTCATTTTTTAAAATAGCTAACAAGTCTGGGAATACCATATTTTTCCGTTTTTTTTTTCGGCCTGGATACGAAGAGTCCTTTGGCTGGGAACCCCATAACTGTTGGTGTTGCCAATCGATTCTGGATAAATGCTACTAACTCGTACATTTTTTATAATGGTGAATTTTTTTGCGACCCTCTAAGGCGCGACGCCGACGCCTCTGCCCTACCCAACAATGTCGATATCGTTTGTGTCGTCGTCAATTTGTTTTAATTATTTAACTATCTAATGAAAAACAATGCTCGGAAGCTTCTTAACGACTCGTTATGACGATAGACACTTCGTCACCCTAATATAACAAGGTTGTATGTTAAAAAAAAACGAACAATTTAAGTTTATGTTTCTACAGAATTATACGTGGCCTACGCTTCACATACCACTTAAAAACAATTCTATACAATGTATATTCTATGTATACATATATATAGAGTTATTTTCAAGTTGTATGTCAAGGGTGGATTACATAAAACCTTGTAGAAGCATAAACTCAAATTTTTCGGTTTTTTAACATACAACCTTGTTATATTAGCCTAATATTATTAGGGTGACGACTTAGTAAAATTCCAGTATCGTCATCCTAGTCGTCTGACATGTTATCATGACAATGTAATTATTTCGTTCAATTTTGAGAAGCAAACCTCAAAAACATCTTTTTATTTTTGACGACTCGTCATGACGATATCAATTTATTTTAAATTTTAAACTCGAAATTTATATTTTAGTGAGTTTATTAACATTATTATATATAACAATTCAATTATTTCGTTCAATTTTAAGAAGCAAAATTAGAATTTTAAAGTGTGAGATATTTATGATTGAAAATAGCCGATTTCAGACCCATTAAAAAAAAGGATGTAAGTATACCTACTATAGAGTCTATAGTAGGTAAACCACTTCAGTAAAAAGTTTTAGTATATACTATACAGGGTGTTTCAATAAAAACTCCCAGGCCAATAGAGTAATTGCATCAAAAATGAAAATCCCTAAAAACCTTTTTAATGTAATCTAGAGGTAAAAACACATTGCGAAAATATTTTTTTATATTCCAAAAGTTCAACCCGGCCCCAAAATATCAAATTGAAAAAAAGGTACTTTTCAAACGTTCCCGAACTCCCGCCATATTGCATGACGTCATAAACCTTCACCATTGTCAGAAATCAAGATGTCAACAAATAATAAACACCGATAAAGTTTAACATGTTTTACATGTTTAACATGGAAAACGCGAAAACAAAAATTGGTTGTAAATATTGTTTTGTGCCTTGTTGTACAAATACAACCTGGAAAACTCCTGGGAAAAGGTTTATCACCGTGCCAAAAGGGAAAATAAGGATAAAGTGGATTAAAATAGCTCGGCGCGATATCAAAACATCGTCACCGCAGTCAACATTATATTGCTGCGAGGATCATTTTAATGTAAGTAAAATATAATGTCGTTTACTAGGTATGTGGTTGGAATAGGTATGTTAAATAATAGTAAACTCAAGAAAATACGGCTTAGCCGTAACGGCTCTCAGTGTAGGGTCATAAACTTTGCTTTTGATAATTGAAGGGACAACTTTCCCAGGAGTTTTCTAGGTTGTATTTGTACAACAAGGCACAAAACAATATTTACAACCAATTTTTTCGCGTTTTCCATGTTAAACATGTAAAACATGTTAAACTTTATCGGTGTTTATTATTTGTTGACATCTTGATTTCTGACTGTAAGTTTATGACGTCATGCAATATGGCGGGAGTTCTGAAACGTTTGAAAAGTACCTTTTTTCAATTTGATATTTTGGGGCCGGGTTGAACTTTTGGAATATAAAAAAATATTTTCGCAATGTGTTTTTACCTCTAGATTACATTAAAAAGGTTTTTAGGGATTTTCATTTTTGATGCAATTACTCTATTCTTTCGAAAACTAAAAGTGACATTTAAATTCTGTAATTTAGCCTCTATGATTGGCTTCACAACTGTGTAAAAAATTTGTTTGAATAATACAAGATGTAGGTGGTGCCACTAAGCAATGAATTTTTTAACACCATTTATTATATATTATATATATATATTATAAAAACAAATAGTAAATATTTGGTCATCCCTGTCATAAACATGGCAAATATTGTCTAGTGAATAATATCCCTTAAATAGTCGAGTATAAACTCGTAAATTGCAACTCGCATTTATATGGAATGGAAGAATAGAGTTAGAAGTTTTTAGGCAGCAAATCCGGGAGGTTTTGGTCTCCTACTGCACAGTGACCAACCATGATTGCAGGTCGGGGTGATTAATTTGTATTAGTTTTTTTTAATTCTTCTATTCCACTATATTCCATTATATTATTGTCATTAATCGGTTTTTAGTAATCACTTACACAAATCCATTTAAAAAAACTGCAATTTTTATTGACATCTTCGACATAAAATCAAAAATCATTACCAGTATTACTAAATTTTAATTAAAAAATCATGTATTTTGTGTTTTAGTTTATTACTACATGATAAAGAAGGTCTTAGCAAAAATAAGACTGTCACCAACTTCTGTGAGGAACTTTACAGCTCAAATAGTCAATCTCCATTTGTGTTATCTTTAATAGTGGACATGTGTTGTGAGCAAGTACAAGAGGGTAGTGGTGATTCAATTTACACATTAGAACGAGCATTGCAATTGTGCAGTGATCTCGAGTTAAAATATGATAAAATCAGAGCAAACTACTGGAAACACATGGCAGACACAATTAAAAGAAAAGCAAGTGGAGAGAATGTAGAAGAAGAGCCTACTACTTCGTAGTTTTTATTGTTAATGTTTATCTAAGCTTTAGATTGTCAAGAATTTTCAATATAATTTTGTCTATAACCACTGTTTTAATTCATAAAATCTCAGATGTTTGAAATAATAACAAGGTTTCTTATAAAATTTTTATTACAAAACAAATATTTTGTATTAAATTAAAAATAAATACATTTACACTTCAACTCCATTATTTTGTTTCTCCTGGTCTTCTTGTTCTTGTAAAATTATTTGGTAAGCTCCATAAACACAAAAATATCCAAAGCAAAGAAGCGCTTAAAATTAAATCTTTAATACTTTAATACTTATGCATAACATATTTAAATACTTACCAAATACAGTAAATAATATTAAGAACGTCGTATTTCTACTTGTGGTACTTTCAATGTGAAATGTTGCAGCAAATAAGCTTAGAAAACTTAATAGGGCATATAAAAATGCATATTTTTGGCTTTTCTAAAAAAAAATCAGTTGTATCTATAAACTAATAATTATAATTATTGTAAGCAAAAAATTAACGTTATAACTTGGTAGGATCGTCTTTAATTTTAAAATTATCTCCACTTCCCTTTGGAAATAAATATTTTTTCGTAATTATACAGAGGTAATGGCAATTCTAGACAAATTTTGTCAAAAATGGAGTTTTATTCCTTTTTAGTGTTATTTTCGATAACTTTATTCAAATACCTTGTGACGTTTTTGGAATTTTAAAAATCAAATTTTATATTTTATTTATTTACAAAAATATTCAATAGTTGAGATTAATTTTAGTAAGGTAAAACTAGGGCTGTACAATTTAGCCGGTTAGGCCGGCTAAAAAAGTTACCTAAGTTAATTAGCCAGCTAAAATTCTAACTGATCAGCTTAACTAATTTAACCGGTTAACTGAATTAGCTTAGCTAATTAGCTGGCGCACAGTGTTTCAATTCTCGAAATTTTCGGCAAAATATCAAGGAGTAGTCGGATTCTCCTAAAAATCCGTAAATAGAGGTTTTTTAAATCCAAAATGGCGGACATATTTGTCAAAAAATTGACGGAATAAATTGAAAATCACCACACAGGTTTTTTGGGGTCGCTGATAACGAATCTGGAATCAGAATTCCAAAATTCAATATGGTAGATCCAAAATGGCGGACATATTTGTAAAAAAATTGACGGAATTAATTGAAAATCACCATACAGGGGTTTTTGTGGTCGCTGATAATGAATCTGAAATCAGAATTTCAAAACTCAAAATGGTGGACCTCAAATGGCAGACATTTTAATCAATTATTGTCGAAATTAATTAAAAACCCTTTTTTTTTAAATGTAATAAAACATCTTTTTATAAATAAGCCTAATTTAGTTTATTATAATTACATTTATTATAAATTATTATATAATATAATATTATTTAATACCTACAAATATATTTAACAATCTCCGTCACTGGATTCGCTCGTTGTATCATTAGTAGAGCATGGGAAACCATCAGAAGATAGCAAAAGTTTTATTGCTTCGCGGGACAAAGATTTGCTCTTTTTCGGAGCAAATTTTCTGAAGCTAGAAATATACGGATCGGAAGATGCCATAAGCCAATGGAAAACATCTCTCATGGTTTTCTCCCGAGAAACTTTCAAAATTTATTTATAAAATTTAAATATAACAGATTTTATACTAAGTATTTTAAATTTGTATTATTTCTTTTACTTAATATTTTAGCAACGATTTCTTAATTCGCTAAAAAAATTGTCAACACAAATAACCACAATTCAAATTTGACATTAACACACTACAATGCGCATGCGGAGTTGTTTTAATGCACCTACAAGAGGTGGGTTAAATATGTAAAATCGGTGTTAAATATCTTAGTAGTCACGAACGATTTACGCAAGTGAAACTCTAGACACCGTAATAAACGTTTTGAGTTAAATCCGAGTGAATCGAGTAAACGTCATGAACGCAACCCAGAAATAAAAAAACAACTTATATTTTGTAAAGCAAAAACACAGATACGCGCTCGAAATAGGCTTAAAATCGCGAGGTTTTTTGCCACAACCGTGCCTGAGCGCCCAAGAACATGTAGTTTTAAAGAGCCGGGGGCAAGTTGGGGCAGCTAATTTATTGATGGCTTGATAGAAAAAACTCTAAGCTATTCAACGGATCTTGAACTGATGCCTTACAATTCATAACAATTTTTGTAGCTCCATTGTTCTAAAAGCTCGATTCAAAGTTTGCGATTTTAACAGACCGATCTTGTCGGTTACAATAACCCGTTGTACAAGCAAAATCTACGAAAAACAAATACATATATGAATTTTAGATACCTTGAAGATCACCCTTCATCAAACCGCATAACAATCGGACACACCAAACACAAGTTATTCACTTTTAAACAATAAACAATTTTTCGCAGCGATCGCGTGTAAAGTACCTTCAACTGAAAGCGTCAAGTTTAAACTGATGTACAAGACAAAATATACGTATTTTATATAATTTTTTTTCAATACAGAATGGGGACAGGTATTAACTACCCATCTAACTCAAAATTTACCTGAAAAAAAATGTCAATTTTTGAGGTTTTGCCGATATTTTCCAGAATTGAAACACTGTGTGGCGGCTTAACCGGTTAATCTAGCTTAGCTCAGCTAATTAGCTAATGGCTAATGGCTAATTAGCTGAGCTAATCTAGATTAACCGGTTAAGCCGCCAGCTAATTAGCTAAGCTAATTCAGTTAACCGGTTAAATTAGTTAAGCTGATCACCCTGTTGTAAATGACCGATTAATTCCTGTAGAAACCAATTGAAGTATTGGTTGGTATCAATGGGTCTGAATTGGACTTACTGGATTTAATTGGGCGCGATATAAAACAGAAATTGGTTTTTACTGTTATTTTCCATGATGGAAAATACCAGTTAGGATTCTAATGGTTTTTATTGGTTTCGATTGGATAAAGCTACCTATAGGTAATTTCCAATTGAATTCAATTGGGCTGTCCCAGTGTAAGATTCGAAAAATCTGCTAATTGGTTATTCCCAATAAAATACAAATATCGCAAGAGGGCTCTCGTATAGCTGCGCAAAATCAACGAGGTTGAGACCCCATCATAAAGAAAAAACAACAAGTCTTTGGACGCCATTTATTAGCGGTTTATGTTATTAGTCGATTTCAGTGTTAAGTGCCTAGTGTTAGTAGTGTACTTATATATTAAAAAAATGTTTATATGTGTAAGATTTAGGGATTTAGGCGATAGTAAGTTATATTTATTAATACATACATATATCACAAAAAAAATAATAAAGAAATAAAAGACGAAAAGTTCATATAAACATAGGTCCGGAAATGCTTCGTTTTCAACTTACAGGGTGTCAAAACTTTAAAAAAATCGTTTTTTCCCAAATATCTCAATAATCATTTAGCCGATTTTGTTGAAATTTAAGGGTAGTAAGGGGCTAGCTAATTTAGCACTAACTAAATTAAAATTATTAAGTCCAGTGGCACCCGAAGACACCTGAATCAATATTTTTTACAAAAAAATGTGCGCCACTAACTTTTTTGCAATTTTTATATTTTGTTCACATTAAGCAACTAAAAATACAACTTTTTATCTCTAGCATATTTTTCGTATATTGCTTCGTTTTTAAGAAAAAAATAAAAATAACTTTATTGCATGTACATACCCTGTACTTTATGTATGTAAGTTGAAAAGGAGGCATTTCCGGACCTATGTTTATATGAACTTTCGTCTTAGAATCACTCAAAGTTCGTCCCCTAAAGTTTGGCCACGTACTTAAATAGCACCCTGTAAGTATATTAATTTTTAAAAATACTTCATATAAATATGACCTCTTGTCAAATAAATTAAGTTAAGACAGGCTAGTCACTCAAACTTAGGAAAGTTTATCTAAACCCATTTAAACCGCATCCAGGTAATTTTGTGCTGTCGTACTGTAATATTTATTTCCAAAGTGAAAAGGCCTAGGTCAAAGTAAAAAGATCAGGCTACAAAATACTAAAAAATTAATGGAATCCATTAAGAAGCAAAATATATGTGGCTAATTGAAGAGTCCAGTGCAATAAGGAGACAGTTCTATTTTATAAATTTTTTAGGAGACGGTAAACATTGTTTAGCTATTCATTTTTGCACCAAGTTGATAAAGAAGATATAAATATATTCCATACAATATCGAAACAAACAAGCGGAGATACCTTATTCTTACACTAATCGATAGGGAATATTTTTGTTCTGTGTTCCATTATAAATGTGAAATTTGTCTAAAAGTGCGGCTGCTTCCTTTTTGCACCGGCCTCTTCAATTAAACATTTAAATTTTTTGTTGTTGCTTAAATGATGTCAATTAATTTATGTTCCTGATTTATTTATGTATTTTTTAAGCATTCTTACCTTTAATATTGCAACCAATAAGAGAACACTTAACAATAAATTTGACACTGCGAATGCCATAGACAGCTTAAAGAAATTTGTTTGAACTTCTTCATCGTTAAGTTTCAAACTACAAATTATAACTCCAGTTATTCCAAATATCTGAAATTAAACTATTAATTTGAGAACATTTTTATTCACTACTGCACGAACAAAATTAATTATCATCACTATGAGCCATCCTAATTTAACAGTGCAATTGATTTTATACTTTGTGTGTGTCATTTAGTAAATATAAATAAGGAAATGCGTTTTCTTTGATGAGTGAAGTTTAAATGACAAGAAAGAGCAGTGGGAGAGACGCCCGCCATCCAGTCGCCAGGATAAACCATAAGAGAATTGGGATTAATGGTCGATATTTGAAAAGTGACCTTATTTAGTTACGTATATTAAACAATTACATTTTAGGTCTACAATAAAATACATTATTCTTGTTTTTAATACAAATTTGTGCGATACCATGGTACCTCTGTCGTGTGCACACGATAGAGGATCCCCCAAAATTTTTGTTGGCGAATTTAAAGTTGTTTTTAAAATTGAATTTTATTATCTTTAGACAATTCTAGACAATTTTACGTTACATCTAAATTATAAAATAAAATTTAAAAAATTTTAGGTAGCTGATATTTTTACCGAAAAAAGGTTTTGAGACATTTTTGGTGTAAATAACACATCATGCAAGAAACCTGGCAGCCATTTGCCTTCGGCATACGTTTCTATTTGAATTTGCCTGGACCTAACGCAGGCACTTTTTCGCCGTTCCCAACAGAAATCATTAGAGGCTTATTAAAATTCTCGTACTCACAAAAATAGTCCCGTTGATTTGCCATGTGTTCAGATGCACCTGAATCTATGATCCATTTATCCGCACTATTTGGTGCACTTTGTCCCATAAATGCTTCCCTGCTTAAAATACCCCATAGAGATCTATACAAAATAATCTATCGGGCGCTACCGGATTCAATATGTGCATTTGTCCATGGTTTTTTCCGGATACAGCCCGATAGAAAATGTATAGGAAATTACCTATAGGCACACCATAACTTTTACATTTTCCCTATTGAGACCGATAGAAAATAACTCAATGAAGGATATATAGGGATATCCCTATAGAGCAACCATAAAACATTTGACAAAATTTTATTAAAACCTATGGGGTCCTATAGGGAAAAAATAATTTCTACATTTATGTGTATTTTCCCCATTGAAACCGATAGCAAATAAATCAATGGTGGATATCCCTATAGAACAACCATAAATCTCAACTATTGGTCCTATACAAACCGATACACCTTATAGAAACACCATACATCCCGATACAAATATCTATCGGTTTGAACAGGGTCTCTATGGGGTATTTTAAGCAGGGTTGTGAATTTCGCGAACTCGATCCGACGTTACGTTTTTCTGGGCTCGTTTTTGATAAATGTTCCTTAGAACCGCACACAAAACATCCTGGACACTCACTTTTCTTATAATTCTGTTTTCCACACAGAAAACACCCAAACTTCTTCGGTTTTTGGTGTTTGAACTGCTTACTAGAACCACTACCTTTTTGATGTGTCTTTCTCGAGAAAAACGCAGCTGAAGTTTCAGTGTCCTTTTCTTCATTGCCATTTATTCTCAATTCTTCAGTCAGTAAACGAGATGTCAGATTTTCTAGTGTTCTTTTAAAAGAACAATTGTTAATTTCTGTTGAATCCCATGCACTATGGAAATGATTGTACTTTGGTGGCAATGTCGACAATATTCTAGTAATTAACATTGAAACCGGAATCATTCCATCAAGAGCTTTCATTCGATTCGCTAATCGTTCTAGCTTGGAAATATGTTGCGCAATGCTACCTTTAGGTTCCCACTAGAATTCGAAGAACTGCTTCTGCACCAAAGAGAGGCTTTCGTCCGATTTCATTTCGTACACATTGTGCAACTTCGTCCACATATCCTTAGCAGTTTCGCAATTTAGCAACAACTGTTTTGACTCTACAGACGTCACTATCATAGATTTTGCGGCTCTGTTTGCTTTGTTCCATGACTTTAACTATGTTTCATAATCTTCTGCCTGATTATCGGTTGGCTTCACTATAACTTCATCACAGACCTCCAAAGCTCCCATACTATCAAATAACATTTTCATTACAAATTGCCATTGTTGCCAATTTTCGAAACCTCCAAGTTTTTCAACCTTAGACGATCTATCCATGTCAAAATTCATTTTTAAATTTCAACACCACTGTTAACTAACTTTCACTAAAGTCCAATTAACGCGACAAATTGCAACACGCACTCACTTATTCTTAATAGCAAACCCGCAGCAACCCCTTAGCACACTGGGCCCATAACCTGTTGTTATTTTGGATGAGGTTGCAATGAGTTATTTATTAAAAGTACTTAAAGAAAAGTTTATTTATAATAAAATGAATAAAAGCGACTTGACTCTATGCCCGGTACAGGCCAACTGTTTTACAAAAAGGTCCTTATTAAGTTAGAATACTGTCTTACTCTAAAGTGGCACTTGTGTGCATAAAACCATCTGTGAAAGGTTTTATGACACTTGTTTCACTACTATCTTATCTAACTGAGCGTTGAAGTATTATTGACATGTAAAGAACTGCAATTAATCTTAACAAAATTTGTGCGATACCACACGATATATCCCCCAAAATTTTTGTTGGCGAATTTAAAGTTGTTTTTAAAATTGAATTTTATTATCTTTAGACAATTCTAAACAATTTTACGTAACATCTAAATTATAAAATAAAATTTAAAAAATTTAAGGATATTGGGTAAAGTAAGTAAAATATGCTCGTTTTAAATAAAAATTTTAGTATAAATACTTATATAAAAACCTTAACTTAATAAAACTTTAACATTATATACAAATGTACACTGTTAACTCTAAGGAACAAAAATATAAAATTTATTTATCTAATTCTAATTGATTGGCAAAGATTCGTGGAGCCAGGTGCGGTCGCCACCATCGGCAAAATCGGCGGCGGCATGGTCGGTACCATTAAGAACCCATTTGGTGGTCAATAGACCCTCGACACCTACTGGTCCTCTAGCGTGTATTCTGGCGGTACTGATACCAACTTCAGCTCCAAGACCAAATCTGAAACCGTCGGCAAAACGGGAACTTGCGTTGTGGAACACGCAGGCACTGTCGACTTTACGTTGAAAGTTGGTTGCATGTTCACCTAAAACAATGTTTAATAAATTTGTTTTAAAATGGCTTAAGTTTGCTACTTACGATTTTCTGTGACAATAACATCAGTGTGTCCACTTCCATAAGCGTGAATATGATCGATAGCCGCATCCATATTCTTAACAACTTCAATGGAGCATTCCAAAGCTCCAAATTCGTGCTTCATGGTTTTGGCGAGCGGGGGTCCAAAGGTCAGCATTTGGTTTAATATTGGTCCAGCATTAATCGTAACGCCTTCTTTTTTCAACATACTACATACTTCAGAGAAGAACTCTCCGTTCATTAAATCTTCATGGATCAACAACGTTTCCATAGCGTTACAAGCGGCAGGGTAGTCGCATTTAGAATCCCTGATGATTTTCAAAGCCTTTTGAAGATCGGCTTCCTTATCGACATAAACGTGGCAAATGCCTTCAGCGTGTCCCATGACAGGAATGTGTTGAGATTGAGATTGGATGCTGCGTACTAAATCGCTGGACCCACGTGGGATAATGAGATCGATGTGTTGTTCCATTGAAAGAAGGTCTCCAATTTCTTCTCTCGTGGAGACCAAAGAAATAGCGTTGGTGGCACCAACAGTGGCCAAAGCTTCCTTAACCAAGTCCATAAGAGCTCTGTTGCTGTGAGCAGCTTCTTTGCCTCCTTTGAGCAAAAGTCCATTACCTGAAGCAATGGCCAAAGCTGCTACTTGTGGAAGGGAGTCAGGTCTTGATTCAAAAATAACCAACAAAACTCCAATTGGTACTGTGATTTGTGTTAACTCCAAATTTTCAGCCAATTTAGTTCTTCTCAAAACTCTTCCTACGTTACTGTGACTGGAGTCAGCAATTTGATTTAAGCCGATAGCAAGATTCTTTAACTTTGCTGGGGTAAGAGATAATCTGGAAAGAAGAGGTTTAGCTAAACCGGACTTGGTGGCTTCAGCCAAATCTTTTTGGTTTGCGTCAAGAATTTCAGCTTGTTTAGAAATCAAGAGATCGGCTAAAGTGTGGACGCATGAAGCTCTTTGCTCTGGACTGAGGGTTTGAAGGATACGTCCACCTGATCTTGCTGAAAACAATATAAAAGGATATACTCGTAGTAGGTTATGCGTGAGCGATTTAATAAATTTGTGCATTTTTAAAATTAGTTAAAATGAGATGAATTGTACCTATAGGTATATGGTTGCAATATATAATATTGCTGCTAAAAAATATCATAAAAATTTAAAACAGGGCTTACTTTAAACTAGAATTCTAACCAAAGAGATTTAGACCATTAATATTAACATATGTGACCTGGACTACGGAAAGGTACCTATGGTTAGAAATCAAGTTTTCGAGAAAACAGCTGTTAAAGATAACAAGTCGTGTCCGTGCGTCGCGTTTGTGTTTGCGCTTCTACCTCTTCTTTTTTCGTCTTAGCCTTCGCTCTTCACCTCTCTTTAGACTTTTACAATACATATGTGTGTACCTTATTCAAGTGATTTCCCCTAAATAGCTAATTTTGTGAACGTTGAAAAAGTTGGAATAATACGTGCTGCTTTTCTTATCATTCTATTTTCGAGATCGTGGTTTTTCGTTGATATGCAGCTAATTTAAAATTGTTTTAGTTTGTGAAAGTGCAGAATGGATTTAGAAGAAGATTTTAAAGCAGTGGAGAAACAATATTTTGCGGATTGTGATAAAGATTACGAAGATCAAGGTGGAGGAGACGCTGTTCCAGATTCGTCTTTCGATATTATGTCTCTTCAGGATATTAAAAATAAAAGATCAAAAAAAGCAATTCTTGATCTATTTACAATTTTTTTCGCGATTGTTATAATTCATGTTGAACTTTAAGGATGATTTTCAGCAAAAGTTTCAAAGTTAGGAGTCTGCGGTTTGTTCCATTGAAAAATACGTTCAATTTTCTATAAATTTCGATCAAAAAACAAAAATTGATTCTTTAAACCAACCTTTCTATAGTCCAGGTCACATATACAGTGCTTGCAAATCCAAGTCCGACCGGGCTGAAAAGGACGACTGTTCAATACCCGCGTGAAAAGAACAAGGATAGAACGCCAAATAGAATTTGATTGGCCAGAGCCGGATGCGTGCGAATTGTAAGCGAGGTCAACTCTGGCAGCCAGTCTGGCTGCATTTAGTGTTAAGCAAACTGCGTTAGAGTGTAGATGCACATTTTAATTTTATTTTTAAATATTTTATACCCGAATCCTAAAAATAAAATTTTTCCTTGAGAACTAGGGCAACAACAAAAATAGTATTCTTAATAAAAAAGATTTCTCAAATAAAAAATAATTCTGAATAAAAATAACTATATATAAAAATAAAACTCTAAATAAAAATAAAACTCTAAAAATAAATAATAAAAATAAATAAACTCAAAAATTAAATTAAATGTTCGAACAAGCCCCCATAGGCAGCCAAACAATAGCCTAACCTATTTTAAAAATTCCCACGCACATTAGCTAGGACTTCTGGACTAATATCCCCCAACAAATTAGTTATGCGGATTCCTAAATCATGAGGATATTAGCCCGATCTTCCTGGAAAACGTACAGCTTCGACTTGAGGTACCCCCACAAAAAAAAATCACACGGCGCCAAGTCCGGTGATCTAGCTGGCCAGAGAATTCCTCCTCGACCCATAATAGGACGAGGTCCTAAAGTGTCGGAAAGGAATTCCCGAACAGCCATCGTATTATGTGCGGGGCAACCGTCCTGCTGAAACCATACGTTTTCGATGTTAACTCCGTCTAAATTTTGAAGCGCGGGAACTATTTGGTCTCTTAAGAGATTTAAATACCTAGCGCCATTTAAATTACCATTTATAAAAAATGGGCCAATTATTCGGTCGCCCAAAATACCCGCCCAGACATTAAGTTTTTGGGGATACTGTGTCCGAGCTGCATAAATCCTACGAGGATTTTCTCGCGCCCACATTCGAACATTCTGCGAATTGTGCCTGCCATGGAGAGTAAATGTCGACTCGTCAGTAAATAAAATATTACCGATAAAATTTGGGTCGGCATTTGCTCTCTCCATAACAACCTCGCAAAATTCCATGCGGCGGAATGCATCGGCAGGGAATTGCTCGTTTCCCCGTCGCAGCTTAAATGGACGATATCCATGGCGTCTTAGCACATTTCGTGCCGTGGAAGCTGAAATATCAAACTCCCTAGCCACCGCACTTAATGCCTGGGTTGGGTTTTCTTCAATTGACGCGCAAATTAAAGTATCCCGCGCTTCTCTATTTAGATTTTCCCGGGGAGGACGTTCCCGTCGGAGCTGCATCGGAACTACACAACCGTGCGTGAGAAAATTATTAACGGTTCGTCGAATTGTTTCTCTGTTTGGTCTGGCCTCGAACATTCCCGCAAATAATCTTTGAATTTCTCGTTCAGAATTACCAGCAAAATGCCAGATTAAAATCTGAACTTTTTGTTTTACTAAAATTACTACCTCTTGCTGGCACCACTGCAGTTCTCGTTCTGATATCCTCGTGTCAAGCACGCTGCGAGGTGCGCGGTGGATATGCGTTGTCTAGCCTGCCGGCTCTGGCCAATCAAATTCTATTTGGCGTTATATCCTTGTTCTTTTCACGCGGGTATTGAACAGCCGTCCTTTCCAGCGCGGTCGGACTTGGATTTGCAAGCAATGTTTAAAAAAGCTAGTCGAAAAAGGGTAGGTGTGGCAAATAGGGCTATAAAAAACTTGATAGAAAACAGATTTTTAAAAAATTTCTAGTTTAATTATTATTAGTGCATATTTTGATCATAAGCTGTTGAATGATATTAAATACTTTAAAATTATCTTACCATTTTCGGCAACAACTTCAGTTGGTACAGCTCCTCCGGTGCTGGAGTCAGTAAAGAAGGTTCCTACTTTGCGACCAGATAAAATAGTTTTGATTGCGTTATCTTGCATACCGTTGCAGATGACAACCGATACACCTCTATCCAAAGCCCATGTGGCAGCATTTACTTTACTGTCCATACCTCCAGTTCCAACCTTTGATTTTTTACCATATTCGATGGTGTGTCTCAAATCGGATGTGAAAGTGTGTATGAAACGTGCTCCTTGTTCCCATGGTGGTTTAGTGTAAATACCATCGACATCAGACATCAGAATCAATAAGTCCGATTGGACTTCAGCAGCCAACATGGCGGCCAAACTGTCATTATCCTTAATACTAATTCCCTTCTTGCCTGCTTTGCCTCCAATTGGTTCGTCCACTTGTGGTGGTGGTGATACAGCATCGTTGGTATTGATGATTGGTACAATGTTAAGATTGATAAGTTCCGATAAGGTACTGATTAAATTACGACGAGTTTCCTCGTTATAAAAATCGGGTTTAGTTACGAGAACTTGAGCAATTTTGACGCCGTATTGAGAAAACATGGCGTCGTACAAAGACATGAGACCGGATTGACCTACAGCAGCAGCCGCTCTGGGTTCCAAAAGGGTCGGGATTTCCTAAAATAATTATTATTTTTTATATACGAGTACACATATAGAATATTCCAAAACTAGGCTTATCCATATTAGTTGTTTTTGAGCAAAATGTAAAAACCTTACACGTGAGTACTAATTCATATCAGGCCAACAGATTATTTTAAACGAAATATATAGGCATAAGTTAAACATTTATATACCTTGATTAAAAAGGTATAGCTCCAATTTAAAATAATTTAATATTACATACGTATAAGCCGACTTCTGCATGATATAACCAATACATAAGGCAAGTTTTGGAATATTATGAACTTTTTAGGGTATAGGGGGATACATGTTACATGTACAGACACAACTAACAAAAAGTGGATAAGCCGAGTTTTGGAATGAGCAGTCATATATTATATATAAATATATAATATTAAATATTATAGTATTAAGCCTCATTCAGAACCTCGTAATTAGTGGAAAAAATTAGTGGTTTCAATTATACTTATAATTAACACAAAAAGATCATTCACAATGCGCAAAATTAACATCTAAAATTAAGGGAATTTGCTAAAAGATTGTCCATTTTTCTTAACCTGACATAAACAATATTAATTACGTATATTAAAATAATAATTTTTACAACCATTACAATAATATTTATATAACCTTACCTTCACTGGCAAATCTTCAAACTTTTTGCTTTTGACATAAAATATCCGCGCACATGCAAAGCCGCTTTCCAATTATAATTAGTGCCACTAATTTAGTGGTAAAAGTAAGAAGTTTGCAAACTTTTTCCACTAATTGAAAAGTACCACCACTAATTATTTGGTTGTGAACAACACTGTGTATATTCATAAAACAAACTTTTACGTTAATTGAAACCACTAATTTATTCCACTAATTACGAGGTTCTGAATGAGGCTTTAATTTGTGGTGTATATATTTTTAAAAATATTACTTCTCTGGTGTGATCAGTTGGAGATAGGGTCTCTCTCATTGAAAGGGACATAAGTAATTCCTGTGTTAGTTTTTGTTTACCAAAAGCTACTGCACCGCTGGTCACCATAATACAGTTTCTTCCTTCGTTATGACATTCTGCAACCTAGAAATTAATTTTAAGTTATAAAAACTATTTTAATAAAAATTATAAATATTTGAATAGATATTTTTTAACTTAAATACTTGAAATGGGTCGACACCTATATCATATGATTTTAATGTATAACTAGATAAAAAACAAACACGGTTTTTTGAGTTTCACGAATTTATTTTAATTTAATTTAAAAATTGTTTCGCTAACACAGTAGTTTCTTCAGAAATTGTTTCTTCAGAAGCTACTGTGTTAGCGAAACAATTGTTAAATTAAATTAAAATAAATTCGTGAAACTAAAAAATAGTTTTCGTTCTTTATCTAGTTATATATATTGGTGACATGGAGTTTCACCAAGCAGTGTGCTAAAAAAATCAATATCTCGGATGAATTAAAGTAATTCGATTTTTTTTATTATTTATTTTTTAGACTTAAGATGCATATATTTTTTTATTTAATAAAAAATAACGATTTAATATTTTCATGGTCGCCTTCAATACGTATATATACTGTTTTTGTAATTTTATGATTTCAAAAACAAAAAATTACAAAATATTAAATGTTATTCAATATGTTATAATATTTATTATTTTGTAATAAAGTTTTCGAAACCGTGTAAAAACATCTACAATTTAGAAATTAAATATAAAAATATGCTTTATTTAAAAACAACCCTTAGGTCAGGGCCGGATTAAGTGGGGGGCTAAGGGAGCAGCAGCCCTGGGCCTTCACATCATAGGGGCTTCAAAACTAGTTATACTAATCCTACATAGAATTTTGCCATTTTGTACCTACTTATTCTGTATGACTATGCAAGTTACATAATGTAGCAAAAAAAATTTTGTTTATTACTGTTACTGTTTATGATCAATTGGGTGTAACTGATAACATCTGCGTAAATAGTTAACCGAGCTATTAGTTTTAGCTAAAGGGTGTCAATATTTATTTGTTAATTTTATGCACTGATAAATCTTAACAACATAATTTATTTAACTACTGCATTATATTAAAATAAGCCTACCTAATGCAAAACACTTGCTTTAAAAGTTGCCAGATTTAACAAACAATCACCAGATTTTGTATTTTTTGCATATTTAAATGAGATACATACAGAGCTGGCCAAGTACTAAGTATTTTTCATTTGAAATACTTATTACTCGTACTTACAAACCAAATTTAATGTACTCGTAAAAAATACTCGTGGAATTCACGAGTAATATATACGAGTATCCATCCATATGGATGACTTTTTGACAAAATATCGTAAGAATCAAAACATTTTTTTGTTTTAAATTATATAATATACGAGTAGGTTTAATAACAAGTAAATAGGTAAAATTATAAACTATTTAAGAATTGTTATTATTTTACCTACATAATGTTTAAAACAAATAATTTTATAAATTTGTATTTGTATTTTTATAGCTCAGGATCAAAGTATATAAATAAATAGCTATTGCCAATGGCCTATTTGTAATATAGGCTAATACCTATCACATAAGACACATTTATTGTGTATAGGGAAGTTATTCGTGTTTAAATAATAATAATAATCCCCAACGCATTTTATTTAATTAACAATAGACCATAAAAAATTCATACATTTTTATGAGTACCTAACACTTAGTACATTTGGACGCCTTTCTGCAGAAAGGAACCAACCCACAAAACCAAAAAAATCGAGATATTTAGCCTATGAACTAATGAAGTATGTATAATTTATCTGCAAAATAGGTCATAGCCAAAATGCAAGTGTAGTGAAATCTATTAATCATTGAACCAACCAACATTCAATAATAGTGTGGATTACTAATCCAGAATTAGAATCTGTAGAATATCTGCAAGTGGGTTAGATCTTTTTTGTAAAAAAGCAGGCTGGTAGACCCACTACCAAAGTCTTTAAAGATTTTCTGCTTCTGCAAAATATAAAGTCTTGATGCATTTTTTTGCTAGCTTACAAGATGAGGTGGGGTTGGAAGATGATGTGGACGAATTTCAAATAGAATCAAAATTAATTCATATTACCACTATAATAGTAATATCAGTTGTATTTTGTTTGGAAATAAATAATTGTCGCTTTTCTTTAAATACATACATACATCAGATAGTAGTTTTCATAAATTGCAGAAAGGAACCAACCAACAAAAGCCCATTTTTTTCGTCACCCTTACACATAACATCACAAAATCCACCTGATGAAATTATTAAATTATATCCCTTAAACCTCCGTAAGTCCAAAATCGGCATAAAATTAACAGGTAATTTTAAAATTATTAAAATCTTTGATAGCTTTTTTCTCAGTTTCATCATGGTGTGGGTTGGTCCCATTCTGCAGAAAGCCGTCCATTTGTAATATTATTTGATTAATTTAATTTTTAATTAATTTTGATATTAAATAGTGATTGAAGTTTACCGGTAATTTTCATTTGATTTTTCTCAGTGGTAATTTACCGGTAATTTTACGGTAATTTTGGAAATATTTCAGAAAACAAATAATTATACCATGTGGATGGACATTATATAATGTATACGTTTTGGGTTTATATATTTTTAGTATTTTTTACATACCTAATGCAAAACACTTGCTTTAAAAGTTGCCAGATTTAACAAACAATCACCAGATTTTGTATTTTTTGCATATTTAAATGAGATACATACAGAGCTGGCCAAGTACTAAGTATTTTTCATTTGAAATACTTATTACTCGTACTTACAAACCAAATTTAATGTACTCGTAAAAAATACTCGTGGAATTCACGAGTAATATATACGAGTATCCATCCATATGTATGACTTTTTGACAAAATATCGTCAGAAAACAATGCAACTAGGTGAAGAAAATTAATAAATCCAAGAGCGTTATAGATTCAGGGCTACATGGCGAAATCATTTTTGAAAATTACCGGTAAAGAAATTTGCCGGGTTAAATTACCAAGCTTACCTTATCAAAATTACCGTTACCGCGGTAACGTTACCGCACTTTAATCACTAATATTAAAACATATTTAAAATAAAAAACCTTGCTTAATATATTCATCTAAATCAACTCTTATTTTTGATATTTTTTATATGGGAATAACCGCGTTTTTAACATCATAAAAAAGACACACATGGTAATTATAATTTATTAAATAATATTATTAAAATAATATAATATAACATGGATGGCGTTTATCGAAAAGGAACCAAGCGCCAAAAACTCTTTCTGGGCTAAACAAAATTATTTGCAAAATATCTCATTTTTAATGCAGCTCAAAAAAAAAATAATTATTTGGGAACCCTCTTAATCCTTTTGAGAAAAGTTCCAAATGATGATCAACCTTTTAAGCATTATTAAAAATGAGTTATTTTACAAATAATTTTACCAAGCCCAAAAAGGTTTTTGACGCTTGGTTTCTTTTCGATAAGCGTTATCCACATAATATTTAATATTATTATTAAAATTAATATAACAAACCTAATGGTAGGTAGGTTTACATTTTTAGTAATAAATTAAAATATTTAAATAAATTTAAAGGAATAGTATATTATGTATCAAGTTTTATAAACGCCATTTTAGGCACGAGCGAAGCTTGCAAGCGAGTGCTTAATAAAAGAGAGTGTTTAGAGAAGTTTATAAAACGAGCATACTATAATTCATCTACGACGAACACAAAGAAGAATTTGACATCTGTCATATATGACAGATGTCAAATTCTTCTTTGTTTATAGTTTATTAATTGCAAAGTAAATAATAATTTATTAATTGCAAAGTAAATAAAGAGTATTTTACTAATCAAACTACGAACGAACGTAAATAATTGACCAGTGTATTAAAATTAATGGTGGATTAGTGGTAAAAATGTAATTCTAGAGAGTATGTTTCCTAGTTGTTTTAAGTTTCCATTTCGTTTTTTAATTTGACAAATTAAGAATGGGAATATTTATGTATAGGTAACTTGACAGAATAAATTTATGATTATTGTAATTATATTCTGTACCTATACCTATAAGAGCAGATAGATCTTGTTTATCTCAACAGGGCTGTTCAGAAAAAATATTTTTTTAGTGGAATGCCCTATACAGGGTGTTTCATAATATATGCGCAGGACTTCAGGATGAAAAAAGTCGCTAATAACTTACTCTCTAAAATGCACAATTTTCGAGATACAGGGTGTTGAAATTTTAGAAAAAAAATCGTTTTTTTCGAATATCTCCGGAACCGTTTATCGTACAAAAAACAGCTTTTGTAAGCATTTTCTACTCATAATAAGCTATGTTTTGTGCCAAAAAATTTTTTTTCTCATAATTGGTGGAGATTTTGAAGGGGTAGCGGGTGTTTTTCTCCTCTGAAAAATGTACGGTTTTAAGAGGCCCATTCAAACCGCCAATGTTTTCTACACAAAAAAGGTACTCTTGGTCATAAGCTCTAAAGTTGACCGTTTTAGAGAAAAATCAACTTTTATGTTTATAAACATGGTCAATTTTTTTACTAATTAAACAAAATTTATTTTAACGTTAGAACAAGTAACAAAACCAAACAATAATTGCAAAATTAAAAAAATAAATAAAAAATTATTCAAAAGTTGTCTTTGCAAAATTCTCCAAACCGTAAAGGTAACGCATTTCGCACATTTCAGCATTTGTGTAAAAAATGTATAATTTTTTTTATCAATTAGGCTTTAAATTTTAAATCAAAAGCTACCTCCTGTCAAAAGTCCTGTGAAGTCCTGCGCATATATTATAACACCCTGTATACTTTTTTTCAGTTTGATAAATTCTCGAGGGGAATTCTCTACAAAGTTACTTTTTTATAAGAAAAATTGCAATTATATGTGTATAGTTATAAGTTATAAAATACGTATTTTATAACTTATATCGTATTTTATAATTTTTTAATAAATATCACCTTTTTCAAAATCCATTTTTTTAAACTTAAAATATTGGAAGGAAAATTAATTAAATTTTTAAAATCTATATCCCTAGCAATTTAAAAGTAAACATATTAGTGTATTAAAAAACCAAATAAGAAAGTTTTTTAATATATTTTATATGTATAATATACATTGTATATTGAAAACGCTGAATTTTTTCAAGATACTAATGTTTGGTAAAATTAAGGTTAAATGGAAATATAAGAAATATCATACCTGTTCTACAATAGAAGCCAATCTGCCAAGAGCAAGTCCATGTTCATCTTCACGAGTTATCACAGCACTTCCTAATTTCACTACCAATCTCCTGGCGTATTTCAGCTGACTCCTATCAGTGAAAGTTGTGTTTTTTCTGTCTTGCAATATTAATGGTTTCTTTGAGTCCAAATTGGCCTGTAATTTGGAAAACGAATTAGTACGAGTAGGTTTATCTTCTAATATAATAGATGACATATTCGTTGATTTTACTTTTTTCAACTAAACTGCGTTTACTAAGTGAAGCTATTCAATAAAAATGGTTTAACACGAGGCAGCCTTGAAGTGTTTCTGCAATTAATGCATGCAGGTAGCTATGGCTGGCAATTCCCAGTGCGTCTTAATGTTTTATTTTGTTTTATCACAAAGTTTAGAACAAACCTTCATCTTAATATGAAATAAAAAGTAACGTTTGGTGAGCAAAAAAAAAATGTATGTTTTCGGATTCAGAAATAAAGAGGATGCAATATGAACTCGTGTAAAATATTTTTTTCTGGTTGAACTTTATAATATTAAACATATTATAGGTTTTTGTTTATAAGTCTTGTTTGTTTTTTGGCCCATTCATACAATTAATTGTTAAGTGATTTTTAGAAGAGGAAAAATAAGCACCCAAAATTAAAACATAAAAATATTAAATATTTTATTATATTTTTTGTTTTTTTCACTTATCATAAATTACTAATTAGGTAATAATAGGTAATTAGAAATACTTGCACCTTTATCTTTATAATGCATTTATATATTCTATTTCTGTGTACACGTGGAAATTTTACATACAAATAGATGGAAATATAAACAATAATACTTAAAATATTAATCCTTTGAACTGTTTTATTGACCTTGATTGATAAGGAATTTAATAATTTTTATCTTTATTATTTATTAAATGCCTCAACTGTTATGGACTTGTACAAAATAAATGGGTAACATTGGAAACATTAAATATTTAGGTAGCACTCACTAAACTTAATTATAAGGCTTTTGTAAGTTTTAATTGGGCACTTCAAAATAAATACTGAACTAATAAAAATAAAAGATAATACCATTAATATAAAAAGCGATTTGGTAGGGACGCACCAAAATCCAGGAGTGCACATGTGACCAACAAACCCTGTTGATCGCGGTGATCGTACTAGATGACCTTCAAGATGCCAGACCTCACACAATTGAACTACGAAAATGTGTATAGGTTTGATTCCGAAACGAAATACAAAGTAAAAATTAATTAATATATGTATTATATATACTGCAAGGAGCGCCCTTTGTAGGAAAGCAAAAATATTTAGTTCAATGTACACTGCTTCAAGAAAAAAACGCACCACTGGGCCGGTTCGGATGATCCCTTAATTGTCTACCAAGAATATCTCAGACATGTTCGATGGGGTTCAGGTCTGGCCAGGCCATAGTATGAATTCCAACGACAGCAAGATAATTTTGGCCACCCTACTAGCTAGCAGTCTAAGGTTAGGCATTATCCTGCATAAGCAAACAAATTTTCTTCGATAATGAAAAATGTTCTTCGAGAATGTCCTTTATGCAACGGTCGGCATTATACAAGGTTGACATTATTTAACACTTTTAAGTCGGTACGCCGCGGCGACTCAGTTATGGTGTGGGGAGGCATTTCGTTAACCCGGCACACCCATACGAGGTTTGTTCAGAAAATATCCGGAATTTTCGTTTTTTGAAACAAATATTTATTTATTCGTCTACATTAATGTTGTCGCCTTCAAAATAGTCCCCATTGGATATTATGCACATGTGCCACCTCTTCTTCCAATACTCGGAAACACTTCTAAAACTCGATCTTTGGGATAGCCTTTAGTTCTTTCAGCGATGCGCTTTTAATGTCATCTATGCTTGCAAAACGACGGCCCTTTAAGGTTCTCTCTATTTTTGGGAATAGAAAAAAGTCAGACAGAGGCATGTCTGGCGAATATGGAGGCTGGGACATTATTACAGTATTGTTTTTGGCCAAAAATTTTGTTCAAAATTTAACAATTTTAGAACACAATTTTTCTGCCACGCGTTTCATACCCAAAATATTCGTTAAAATTTCATGGGATGAGCCAATCGATATACCAACATTATCAGCGACTTCTCTGATGGTTTAAAACCATTTCTTCCACTTTTTCCATGTTTATATCGGTTGTTAATGTGCTTGTGCGTTCGGGGCGTTCGTCATCTTCAACGTCTTCACGGCCAACTTGGAAACTCTTATACCACTTGTAAACTCTTGTTTTACTTATAGCAGATTCACTATAGGCCTTTGTTAATAATTCACAGAATTTATTTCATTTTTTAAGCAAAATTGGATACAAATTCTTTGGTCCATTTCTTTTAACGAATGAAAAATCGCCGAGCTCATAAAACACGTCTAACCTTAGCGGCTGCCACAGACAAAGTAAACAATGAAAACAGCTAAAGTTTTTATCATACTTCGGGGGCATGTATACCAACATAATAAAGAAAATTTTATGACAACCGGACCCTCCGAAGCCGCGTAATTTAACAATTCCCGTTATTTTCTGAACACACCTCGTATAAACATATATCATGCGGCATAACTGAGCCTCCACACGCACCCGTCTATCACATGTATGCATTCAAAATCTCGATTGATCTGTAAAGAGAACATGTTGCAAATCAGTTTTTATCCAAATGACGTGTTCTCTAGCAAAATTTAATTCTGCTTTGCGATGGTCTACAGTTAATACTGGGCCTCTAGGGCAGGAATGCGGGGATGTTAATTAGCTTCTTTGAGTCGTTGTCGAATTCTTTTAAGACTTATTCAAATTTAAGACTTATTCAAATACCTTCTACATTTTCAAACTCGGACTGCAACATTCTTGTTGTTACAAACTGTTGCCTCAAGGTAAAAAAAAACTTTCTTGAGCAGGAGTTATGGCACGATTTCTTCCCTGTCCATTTTTTTTGGTATGGTCACCAGTCTTCCTGTATACAGTATACTGTTGCAATATTTTGGAAATGGATCTATTGATGTATGGGACACAAATCTATGGGATAATCTGGGTTACCACCTTTTTTTCACTAACAAGACGACTTGGGCACATTTATCACTTAACACACGTGGAAAATTTACCAAATATTTGTTAAAAATGGTTTAAATACTTACCAACCCATTTTAATAAAAACTTGTACATTTGTCATAAAACACTTAATAACGAAAATCACGCATAGGTATACATTTTTTAAACCCCACATACTAGGGTGTTCGTAATAATTCGTAACATTTTAATGTTTGCTTTGCCAGGCCTTTTAAAGCGGAAATCATATGTGGTGCGTTAAATTCTTGGAGCAGTGTAGTTATTAAAAAAATATTATGGACGCCAAATAATTACAAAATTTTGTAATGACCAAAAAGAAATAAATGAAAATAAACCTTGATGTAAGTATTTTTAAAAAGGAAAAGTTCATTATTAGGAAATGTTTCATTGAATAAAAATTTCTGCCAAAGTACAAAGTTATATCTGTTTACACCAAACATAAAGAAAATAACATCGAGATTAGTATGACATTTGGCCCTGAACTGATACTATAGCAAATCATTTAAATTTAAGTAAATATATCTATTACCTATTTTTATATAGCAATTAGTTTACGCGTGTATTACTTAATAAGATTTTCCTAATTGATAATTAAAAGCAACATATTTTCACTTATAAAGATATCATATAAAAGGTAATAAAAATGTTGTCTATTTTGAATGAAATATTACAAAAAAAATCGTAAAAAATATTTTTATGGGGTATACCCTATAGGGGAGTTTCATAATTTGTCACATGACCTTTCAGGGGGGCCTTCCCTGCTTAAAATACCCCATAGAGACCTATATAAAATAATCTATCGGGCGCTACCGGATTCAACATGTGCATTTATCCATGGTTTTTACTGGATACGGCCCGATAGAAAATGTATAGAAAATAACCTATAGGCACACCATAACTCAATGAAAGATATATAGGGATATCCCTATATAATAACCATAAAACATTTGACAACATTTTATTAAAACCTATGGGGTCCTATGGGGGAAAAACTAATTTCAACATTTATGTGTATTTTCCCCATTGAAATACATACCAATACACCCTATAGAAAAACCATACATTCCGATACAAATATCTATCGGTTTGAACAGGGTCTCTATGGGGTATTTTAAGCAGGGTTTACATTAAGGTGGGCCGAATTTTAACAATTTCGGAATTTTGATTTGGAATAGTGTGAAAAAGTTGCGTTTTGGCAATACAAAGAAAATGTTTATTTTCGATTTTTTTGTCAATTTGGTTTTTTCACCCTCTACAGGGGGTTAAAAAATTTTAAAATTTCGAAAAACTGAAATTAGTAATTTTGGCTTGGAATAGGGTGGAAAAGCTTCCTCTTGACAAATGACGGAAAATATTTAAGTTTCATTTTCCCCTCAATTTGCGATTTCCACCCTCTACAGGGGGTTAAAAAATTAAAAACCATATCGTGCACGATATAACTCAAATTGTGGAGCAGCTCTTAAATTAAATATTAAAAAACCCAGAACTCACCGCGGGGAGGTGGCTGCTCAGCGAGTTCCATCCTACCCTCCCTCTTCCGAAACTCAAGTGATTAACTGATTAAAGTCTTTTTTAGTTTTAAACTGGGGCATTGATGTTCGTGAATCTATCTTTGCTTTAATAAAACCATCCCTTTTATCTATGCCAACAACTGAACAATATGCTTCCGTCACTAACTTGACACATCGCTCGACCGCTTGGGTGTGGCACGGATATGACTCACATTCGAAAATTTTCTCAGGATCACTTTTTATAAAATGCTTGATATCTTCAACGGTCATGCTTTGAAATATCGGAGGACAAGTGATCTCATTTTCCTGCCAGTTGATCAAATCGATGTAGTCATCAGCGTCAAAGTTAAGTTTGGGTAATGTGAAAATCCGAATTTTATGTTGATTATCTTTATTTTTCGCATTTATAATCCGTCTAAGAGCAAGCTCTCTTACAAAATTACGAGAATCGGATAACATACATAACAGCAGGTTCTCAGGATGTGAAAAATATGAGTTGCGCTGAATCACAGGGTAAATAATACTTTTTAACTCTTGGTTTAAATATCGGCTTACCTTTATAGTTTGAAAAACATGCTTTGCTCCGTGTTTAAATGATGGATTAAATTTTATTAGAAACCACATGGGAGCATATACTTTCAATATAAAAGTAGTCAACTGCATTAAATTTGTGTTGGGATCTTCTGTGCTGATATACAGGCGTAAGATACGATTTGCCAAAGTTAGCCAACGGGCATGGTTTAATTTACCAGGATTTCGATTTATTAAGTCCGTGGAACAGACGCCTGAGGAAATTGCTTCACAGATTTTATATAAATAGTTTTGATCTGTACTTAAGTCACTACACGTCACAGTAGGAAGCACACAGTCAATATTTTGGTAGTTTGCAACTGGTAAAGTTTCGCAGTCTTGTATTTGCTTTCCCAATGTACCTGCAAATGCTTTAGGTCCAGATGTTTTGCCCATCAATATGCTGGAATATATGTCTAAGAGGGAGTTCATTAGCGTGTAGCTGACACACGAAATGCTGTAATGGTCGACCTAATTTCACCTCAATTTTGGCAATTACACCATTTTTCAACCCGGTGTTCACTACGGTCCCGTCACAACCAACCGCAACCAGATCACTTAAATCATATCCCTTCTCTTGCAAAAATGAGAAAATGCTGTCGCATATACCTTTTGCCGATCCATTGGAAGGTACAGTATGACCCAAAAAGATGGATCCTGGTTCTTGCACTAATGTGATTTGCTCCTGAACTACTGACCGTCGATGATGTTTTTTATCCACTGTTTCAACCATTAGGGTTTTGTCTTTTCTTCCATCAAAATATATTGCTTTGAGAGATTCATTTTGTTTAGAATAGGATTTTCTGGATTTTTCTCTGGCCCGCCTCAATTTATTTTTGTCTATCACATGCGTAGTGTCATCCTTTGAAACGATTCCAAAGTCTTGCAATACTGCTGTAACGACTGCAGCTGCAGATCTATCTGACAAACCAAACCTGTCACAAATTTTAGCAACCGTAGGAAGCCTTACAGTATTTAGGGGCGCCTTTAATGTTTCGCCAATTCCCGCAGAGGTGGAGGGCAAGTCGCTTACATTTAAGATGTTTGATTGGCACATGTCCGACGTTTTTGTTCTAGATTTTATTGTTATTTCATTTTCAAAGTTTAATTTCTTATTTTGCGATTTTTTTTCCATTCTAATTGTTTTCTTTAATAATTTTTTTGTTTCGTTGGCATCAATTGAACCAATTACCATTATTCTGGCACCTCGCTGATCTTGAAGAAAGTCACGCTCTTTGATTGGAACTTTATGGTCTTTACTGCAAACACATTGTTCAAAGTTCTCACATTTACACGCACTGATGTCAAATAACTTTTTGATTTGAACTTTAAATTCTTCTACTTTTAAATTATAACTTTCACTTTTTCTAGAACTTAGATACCTCAGAAGCTTCAAATATTTTTCATGCTGCGCCTTGATCAATTGTAGAACACGTTTTCTTGTTACCGTGGGTATTGACGACTTCTGCCATAAATAGAAAATCTTGTCGGCAAGTATATTCGATATATCGAAAAACTTTGGCTCTTGTCCTGAATTGGGAGTCTTCAATCTATATCTAATGCATACATAGCATTTTAAAACTTCTTCTATACTTGGAAGAATATTGTTTTTTAAATCAGAAGTAAAGGACACTCAATATCGCGCCTCGTATAAAAAAGCTTTGAACAACCCATGTCTGAATATTTATACTAAAAATGAAACTCAACTTTTATCGCACACACTAATTTTTACCGCAATGAGCCGAGCATAGCGCGAGCCTAGATAAAACTAATATTAAGTTGACACTAAAAAATCTTAATTATATCGTGATTTTTCATTTTTCAACCCCCTGTAGAGGGTGGAAAACGCAAATTGAGGAGGAAATTGAAGATAGATATTTTTTCATTTGTCAAAAGAAAGCTTTTCCACCCTATTCCAAGCCAAAATTACAAATTTCAGTTTTTCGAAATTTTAAAAAATTTTAACCCCCTGTAGAGGGTGAAAAAACCAAATTGACAAAAAAATCGAAAATAAACTTTTTCTTTGTATTGCCAAAACGCAACTTTTTCACACTATTCCAAATCAAAATTCCGAAATTCTTAAAATTCGGCCCACCTTAGTTTACATCGTCACATTCTGTTACGCGGGATGGAACCTTTTTTAACGTCACGAGATTTATTGACGGCCCCTAATCAAATGGGTGATTTTGCTATAGACGATTCGATTTCCAAATCACAGTATTTGTTACTTCTTTTGATGTTATTACAAAGAAGATTTAAATTTAATTATAACATTACTTTTTTGGACCTATTTAAATGTTTGTCTCGCTTAGAAACATTAACATCAAAGATTGGGTGCAAACTAAAAATCGGTACTTAAATTGCGACAGTTTAAATTTACATTTTACTAATTATTCTGTTAGTGAAAACAACGTTCATGTTATTTCTTTTTAAGTAATTTTGACTACAAGAAGTCATTGTTAGCTTGTTGCACCTGCGATATAAAATATATGAAAGTTTGTTTTTCACAGAAAAAAAGTGCTAACGTTTTAAAAACTTTGTAATACCTAGTAAAAAATCAAAGGAAAACTTAAATCAATCCAAATAAGAAACCTGCGATAATTTGACGTTGCACTCGTCATTTCTTTAAAAATAAATAATTCATTGTATATTTTGTATGTTTTCTATAATTTTAGTGATAACTGATTTATTATAATTCAAAATATGAAGTCAAAATAAAATAACGTTTCACAATAAACACACCTTTGTGTTTTAGTACTATGATCTGGAAAGGTTGTGGGATAGCAATTTAAACCATCCTTTAAAAAATAAATATATATTCTTATAAACAAATTAAAAGGAAAGGTTAAAATGAAGCCCTTTAAAAATAAATTTTATAAACAAGTTATTATTATATTTTATTGGTAGAGAACGCGTCCAAAGGTTGCACCCGCAATAATGGAATCGCCCAAATATGAAAAAATTACCGTAAAAACGATTTTTATTTTAAAACCGTCTTATATAAAAAACCTTCTTTATCGACTAATATACATATAACTTTTTAACTTGAAATAAAAAAAAATATTTTGTAATGAAGGAGTAATCTTAATCAATGGTTCCTACGTAATTAAAAAAATGCAGTAATTTTATATTTTTTACAAATAAAATATACATTGGGTAACTATATTCTTATATTAAATTTTTATGAATCATTAATAAATTTACATCTACAATATATACAGCTATATTTTGCAGTAATTTTATATTTTTTACAAATAAAATATACATTGGGTAACTATATTCTTACATTAAATTTTTATGAATCATTAATAAATTTACATCTACAATATATACAGCTATATTTTGGAACACGTTGACCCATTTCAATTTTTTTTGGGACATTAGTACTCGATGCTGTATTTGACCATATGGGAAATATTTTTAATTATTAAAAAACAACCCTAAATTCTATTGCTCTTTTTGTTTTTTGTATTTATTTCAACCATGTATTAAAAGTTAGGTACATGTAAAGTAAAAAGATAACTAAAATAACTAAGTATAAAAATATTAATTAATTTTGAAAATTTATAGAAAGTAAACCTAAAAGTTACGGAATCCCCTGTAAACAAAGGTCTAGTTTTAGATTTAATCCAAATTTGATTTAATTTTTTAAACAAGGTCCGCACATAAGGCAAGCTGAGTTCCGGAGGTCGCAACCTTTGATTAATGTTTAAAAAAATATTTATTTTACTTCAACAATTAAAAATATTGAAACAGACTATATGTATTGGTAAAGAAATTTGATAAGCATATAAAAAACAAAATACTTCAAACTCTGCACTAATGTAGGTTTAAATTTGTTGTTGATTTTATTTATCTAATAAAACAAATAATAGAAACAAAACTGTCTTTTTTCAGATATACTGTATATATGGCGCATTCCATGGTAATCGTCAAGACAGCCGCAATTAAAATGTTTTGAAATCCTGGGTTTTTAAATGTTTTAAATTGTTTTAACATTTCTTTAAATTAAAATTGCAGCACTGTTTCCATTTTCAATTGATAAAAATCTTTATTAAACTTCCTCTTAATATAAACTTTAAATAATAATACCTTTAAAAGATTTACTTAAAAAGTAGATATTTAACCTTTAGAGAAGTTATATTTATGATTTGAATCTTTTTAGAAATGCAGTTCAGGTTTTTTTATATGATTTAATGATTTTTATTAAATTAAATTTTAAAAATAAATTTACCTGTGTAGTTTTGGGAAGCCATAATCCAGGGCTTGTGGACGCTGATCTTGCAGTAGGACGCAGAGCTGCTACTTGTCCGGGAATTTTAAAAAATCCAACACCATTAAAAGACAGGAGACCTGCAGGCCTTACAACTTTTGGACCCAGCATTATAATAATTAATAATAATAAATAATATGTTCACTACGCAGCTAGAGCCGCGCTACTAAATTTTGGAAAGTTTGTTAAAGCTCCCAGCCAAAACTAGCTGATTACGACGTCCAAATTGATTGGAGAAAATTTTCGGACTATGGCCATTTACAGTAAATTCACGTGATTGCTGCCGATGAATTAATGATTGAATGTTTGCTTACTAGTATTGGTTTAATATAAACAACCATTATTATCTTATCTGACTTATATAGTTATAAATCTAAAACAAAATACAAAATTACACTTTTATCTTTCCCTAATTATTTTTTTACATTGTTGTTTACGAATTATATAAAAAACATCCACGCTGTACCTACCCACTTTAATATATTTTTCAAAAACGTTCGCGCGTGGAATGTCAGCACACAACTCTGTGGTAATAAAATTTTAGGTACAAAAATTGCTTGAAATAAATTACTAATTAATAATTTTATTAAAAACGTGTAAAAGTGTGGGATCTGAATAATGCTTAAAATTACATCTATTTGACTATAATCGGTAACCTCTATTATCTACGTACTAAGCCTTAAGGCTTGTTCAGATGTATCCAGTAGTTTAGTCAAATGGCAAATAATTTAGCAAAAGTGTTAAGTCAAAACTGCCCGAACAGCTTCTTAATCACAGTTGCATAAGACATTTTGAATAAAAAAAGCGTCAATGGGTGACAAGATGTATAAGCAGAAGAGCTTCATTAGGAGCTTCAAATGGTCATCCCAAATAATTAGAATAAGAAGATTATGCTGAATATTTTAACACAACGATAATGTCGTAGTTCTTTTAATTTAAAGGCAACATTTCCCAAGCAGCATTTTTGGTTCCAAAAACCATTACCAAAGTGGTGATAACCTTAAATTAGTTAAGTATACTAAACAGCTACTTTAATTTTTACTTAAAAGTAATTCTAACTTTTAAATAGCAATATTTTGTAACAGAAACTTCATTCTTTCCTTAAATGGTTACTATAGTATGTATAGTATGTATATATACAGTAATCCACATTTAAGTAAAACTTGGTTGCCCCCAAGAAGACTTTGCAACTTTAAAAAAGGTGTTATAAGTAAAAAAACTTTCAAGTAAATTTAGTTTGTAGCAGTTACTTTCAGTTGCTACCTAAAGATTACGTTATAATTATTTTAACTTTGCAGTCCCTTTGCAAGTTAAAATCTCGAAACTGGAACATGAGTTAAAAACTACAATGTTAATAACTTAAAAGTTATTATTTTAGTATTTGGAACGGTTATGGTACTAACCAAAACTACCGTAAAGTAAATTAAGGTGGAAAAAAACTTGAAAGTAGTAAAAACTTTAAAGAAAATGCTTCTTATCGGCCATTTTTTACTGTACAGTACCACGTGGTAATGTAAATAAATTATTTTAATTGTTTGTAAATGGTTGTTTACTTTTTAATAAATAGTTATTTTGTTGGTAATAGACGGTATTAATAATTAAATAAAAAATTAATAATAAATATTAAGATTTTTTTATTTATAAACATAATTAAATAAATAATTTGTTTATACTTAAATATTGATGAAGCGCATTTATTATACAAAAACTAAATTCAGAAGTTCAACAGTAAAATTTAAAGGGTTTATAAATTTACCTGCCTAATTAAACATTATATTGTTATTCTGGAAGTTATAAACTACCAGTACATATTTAATAAACGACGACATTGAAAAGCCAAGTCCGTAGTGGTTCCATTTAAAAAAGGAGGGATAGTATAATCTAATATAAGTTTGACAAAGACATTTAATATAGAAGTAAAAACAAATAAATAAAAGTAATTATAACGCTCTAGCAACGATATTGAAACGTTCTAGTAACGTAGCAGCTACGTTCCAAATAGTAGCAGGGTTTATAGCTAGTGACATATTTGTTACCTTTTTGGATCTAAATAATTGTTCCCCACTTTAGTCACTTAATAATGAAAGAGTAATATAAAGAGACCGGCGACTGTCGCAAAAACTTTAAAGTTTCTTCAATAGTCCCATATACGTAACAAATACTTAAATTGTTGCTTGGGTTATACGTTATTTGCTCCAAAAATTATTATTTAGTTTTACCTGTGTGTATTTTACTAACAAAAAATCAGGTAATTATATTTAATTTATAAAATTATTTGCATTAATCCTAGGTATGGATTAGCAAAATATAAGACGGCCTTTAGTTAATGCGTTGCCGGCTGTAGATACCAGGATCTTGAAGAAAATTATTATTTATCTTTATTTTACGGATAAAATGGCATCCACATCGGGTGTACAAAGCCGAACCAAGGATAAAATATTTCTTGTGGGCTATCCCATTCACCAAATCACCGGTTGTAAACTACCCTCAAATCGTTAAGTTTTGTGTTTTTTATTTTATAATTTTCGTGCTGTGAAACTAACTGAAAGAGAATCAGCAAAACTTGCCATACGAGAAGTGTTAATTTTTTGGGAGAATTACTAAGCTGGAAAAACTTTAGGCCGAGTGGAGAACTCTTCAAAAAGACCGGAAGAAAACATCGGAAACGGCTAAGAACAAATTTAAACAGTTCGTTGAAAAGTTGGATGATCTCTTTGATATTGCTCAGCAAGATGCCTTGTCTCTGATGAATTTGGAAGAAGATAAGGCGTTTCTCGTGAAACAGAGGCAGAAGGGCCGCCCAGGTTCCTTGACTGGAGTGGATCTCAAGTTGTCTCGAGTTGAAGAAATCAAGGCGCCAAAGGAACTTGCAAAAATGAACCGACATCCAAGAAGAAACTTTTGATATTGTTCTGTTTTTTATTATTATTCTAAAAAAAGGTAGTAGATATTTTTTTAATAATACCTTGATTGATATTGATATTATTATTACTATTCTGCTAAAACGACAAGTTTTTATAGTCTTTTTTTCTCTCTCTTAGAGACGGATGATGAAGACAAGTTCGAAAAAGGAGAAAAAGAAGAAGACAATGAAGATGACAGCATCTACCAGGAACTTGAGAGCTTGGAGGAAATGGACATGCTTGAAGAAGCTGTAGAAGATCCAGGGCCATCTGAGAGAAAGAGGATGAAAGTTGCAAGGGGCGTTAAAGAGATTTTAAACATGAAATTGTACATTTTGTTAGATCGATGTAAGGTATCCGACAGAAATGCCACGAGAATTTTAATAGCTACTCTAGAAGCACTAAACCTTGACCCTCTTGAGTACAAAGTCTCGAAAACTTCATTACATTATAGAAGGCAAATGTTGAGAGAACAATATACTAAAAATTTTTTTGATAAACTAAACATCCTGAAAAAGAGCCCGTGGTTGTCCATTGGGATGGGAAACTTTTACCGGGTATTTTAAAAAATGAGCAATATGAGCGAATAGCTATTGCTATTTCATATGGCGAAAAGGAACAGCTGCTGGGAGTTCCTGTAACAGCAAACAGCTCTGGAGAGGAGCAATCTGTAGCCGTATATGAATGCCTACATGAATGGGGTCTTCTCAACACCGTCAAGGCGATGTGCTTCGACACTACAGCATCCAATACGGGAAGACTCAAAGGAGCATGCGTCATATTGGAACAAATGTTAGAAAGAGCATTGTTATACCTAGCTTGCCGTCACCATATCTTGGAAATTCTGTTAAAAGGCGTATTCGACACAAAATTGGGATCAACCACTGGACCTCATCCAGACATTTTTAAGGGATTCCTTACTGCGTGGCCCAAGATAGACAAAGGAAAATACGACACAGGTATCAGTGACAATCTAATACAAAAGCAGCTAACTCCAGAAGTAAGTGCAAATGTTACTGCTGAATTCGAGACCAAATTAACTGAGAGCCACCCCAGAGATGAATACACGGATCTATTGCTGTTGGTTCTCATATTTGTTGGATCTCTAGACGGCAATGTTTTAGGTTTTAGAACTCCAGGAGCCATTCATCACGCTAGGTGGATGGCAAAGGCTATTTACTGCTCAAAAATGTTCATTTTTGGTCGTCAATTTAAGATGACTAAAGAAGAAGAAAGTTCTGTACGTGCCATTTCTGTTTTCCTAGTTAAAATTTATTGTAAAGCTTGGTTCAATGTTCCAAAAGCTCATCTTGCACCAAAACAAGATTTAGGTATTTTGCATAGTCTGTTAGACTATAAAGAATGTGACAACGACATTGCAGAAATAGCCCTGAGCAAATTTTCGAATCATTTGTGGTATTTGAATGCAGAGTTGATGGGATTATCTTTTTTTGATCCCACCATTACAGACGATGAAAAGTTGTTAATTAATTAATTAGTTAATTAAGATAAAGGCCAAAAGCAATATGTCCTGCAAGTTGTAAGCAAATGCAAAGCATTATATCCTGACGTTTCAAAAACTACTTTAACAAAAGCTCTAGAATAGATTAGATAACTATGTAAAATCAACTCATGTAGGTACTAAGTCTGTATATTTTCTGTGTCTGTTTTGTATGTATTATATACCTAATTTTTATATTTTAAAATACAAAATGTCATAACTTGTTTTTTATTATACTTCTACTTTAAACTCAAAAATATACCAAAAAAAGCAAAATTTATCACTTAATAACAAAATATACGAAGTATGCTCCTAGTGGTACCAGGTCATGTTTTTTGGGATAAAGGCTGTTGTAACTCGGTTTGACTTAAAATAACAATTATGTATAGATTACAAATTTTGAAGAACAACATTAGCTTTCTTTTGAGATATTAAGCGTATTTTTATTATTTACCGTTCTGGAGTTATGGCTCCATATGTCAGCTTTTTGGCCATAAATTTGGATTTTTTCAAACTTTGAGCGACGAGCGGCACGGGTTAACGTCTTTTAATCGAGCTCAAATTTCGGCTAACTTAATATCTGGAAAGGGGAATCGTTTCTCTTTAAAGTTATGTTATTAATAATTATGCTTGATAGATTTAGTTATTTATTTTTCTCTAATCACCCGTCTGTAAAAAAAGTAATTACATGAAATTGTACTGATAAACAATTAAAAATCATAATTTAAAAAAAGTTTCGTACAAAAATCCTGAAAATTTCATAATATCAACAAATATCAATATTATTGATTCAACTGATAAGACCTTTTTTAAAGAAAATATTCTACAAGTTTGTCCTTTATATTGTTTCGATAAATCCAGTCACTTTTAAAATATCTTAAAAAATATGAGAATTTTTCACTAAA